ACCAGTGGGCAGCTTCCTTAGCTTAGTTTTCTGCCTCAACTTGTGAGCTACACTACCTGTGGGACACCCAACCCGTGGACTATGTTGCTAGAGCTTGAGGTTCATTCGAGACCTGCTTCGCCACAATACTGGTATATACATCGCTTGAGCTGGGGGCTGTCAGATTCTGTCATCTGGTTGACTGTTGGTGACCTGCCTTGGTGTTTACTGACTGTGGCCAGACTGCCGGCATTGCACTACACAAGACTCAGCTGTCTGCTCACTTGACCTTTGGCCCAGCAGCCCTCATAATTTGAAGGACTTGCAGTATATTAACTGTTTCACAGAAGTGAGTTGAACTGAGCCCTCTGTACTGCTGTGTGGACTAATTAGTTGTTATATTCTTTTGTGCTGTATATATCTATCCATATATATATAAAATCATAAGTGTCTTGGTTTTGTTTCTGTAGAGAACTCTGTCTAACACAGAGGCCTAGTGGGGCTTAATTGAGGGCAATGTAACAGCGAGTAACTACTGAACCCGAATGAAGGCCAAACATGATAGTGGGACAAGAGGAAAGTAAAAGGAAATAGAAGAAAGAACTAGGAGGCAAAGGACATTTATAGAAGTCTAAATACAGGCATGTGTATATGTAAATATATTTATATACAACGATGGGGTAATAGATCTATGTACATATATTTATATGTTAAGTATTAAGGTTGCAGATGGACACTGTACCTCAACTCAAGTACACTCTCAACACAAGAACATTTTGTTCTACTAACCCGGCATTCTGTGATGCTCACCTTCCCTACATGATCGCTGAAGACAAAATGTGTGCATAAGCAAATGTGGTGAAGAAAGCTGATGGTGCCTGGCTATCAAAAGGTATAGCATTTGGGTTCGTAAAGGCTTGAAAATAAACAAGCGGCCATCTAGCTGAGAAGCAACGAAACCCACATGGTATCAGGTATCAAAGAACAAAAAAATCATACTCTTGTGAATGATGGGGAGTGCAGAGTGGAGACCCAAAGCCCATCTGTAGGCAACTGGACATCTCCTTACAGAAGGATCATGGGGAGGAGACAAGCCAGTCAGGGTGCAATATAGCACCGATGAAACATACAACTTTCCTCTAGTTCTTTAATGCTTCCTCCCCACCCACCCCCCACTATCATGACCCCTATTCTACCTTACAAATCTGACTAGACCAGAACATGTACACAGCTACAGACAAAATCCCGCAACACAGGGAATCCAGAACAAGTAAACCTATCAGTAACAATAATGAGAAAAGAGATACCAGGAGGGTAAGGGGAAGGTGAGGGAAAAAGGGAGAAATGATTACAAGGATTGACATATAACCCCCTCCTGGGGGACGAACAACAGAAAAGTGGGTGAAGGGAGACAGAGAACAATGTATGAAAATAATAATGTATCAAGGTTTCATGAGCGAGGGAGGGTAGAGGAGATAGGGGAAAAATGAGGAGCTGATATCAAGGGCTCAAATAGAAAGAAAATGCTTTGAAAATGATGATGGCAACATATGTACAAATGTGCTTGACACAATGGATGAATGTATGAAATGTGGTAAGAGTTGTACAAGCCCCCAATAAAAGTATTGAATAAAAAAAAAGGGACACACACACACACACACACACATACACAAAACCCTGATTAGTCCCATGGGGAGTTTCTTGGCTATAAATAGGCTTTATGGCATTAATACTTTCAAGGTTGTCATCAAATGGGTTAATTTTTTTTTAATAATTTTTTTTAAAAAGAAAAGAAATTATTTTAAAGCTTGGGGGGGAAAAGTTTATGATCCAGATTAGTTAAACCCCCTGAAACCAAACCATAGCCGCTGAGTTAATTCTGATTCCTGGTAACCCAGTAAGGCAGAAGAGAACCACCGTAGGGTTGTCCCATGGGATCTATGGTGGATTCCTACCATCAGCCTTTCAGTTAGTAGGCAAGTGCTTAACCACTGTATCAAACGGTTATTTCTTAGGTAGTACAAAATAGCAGATTACAATACATTTTACAACAGAAAATACTTTCACATAAATTTATTTTCTCAACTTCCATTAAATGACTCTATAAATATACATACAGAAATAGGGATTAAGGACCATAAATATACTTGCAAAACACATAAAAACCAGTATAATAGTCACAGTAATTGACTTTTTGTTTAGGATTTACTAAGAAACCCTAGTGTTATAAGTGCTATGAGTGAAGCATTGGGCTGCTAACCACAAGGTTGGTGGTTCAAACCCACCAGGCACTCTGGCAGACAAAGTTGAAGCTGTCTGCTCCCATAAAGATTTACAATCTCTGAAACCCTGTATAGGGTTGCTATGGTTGGAACTGAGTTGATGGCACTGAGTACTTATTACTGTATAAACTTGAGTATAAACCGACGCAAACATCAGCCAAGGCACCTAATTTTATCACAAAAACTGGATTAAAAATGTGCTGAAAAACTCGTCTTATACACGAGTATATACGATATTTTATTGTTGTTGAGTACTTAGGTACTTCAAAACTGCTTTTAAAATCTTTACAATTTTATAGCTATAAATATGCTTATTGTTGCCATGTTATAGCTAAGAAGTTTGGGCACAGTGACTTATCTTACACCGAATGACAGTTTAAGTGGTGGGTTGCATTGAAATTCAGATCTGACAGACTCACAATCTAGGTCAGCATGCCATTTTAAATGCATACTTAAAATAAAATCTCATTTAACTAGAGCAATTTGGCCTACTATATAAGCATACTACCCATTCCTTTTTTTGCTTACCATATATACTCGAGTATAAGCCAACCTGAATATCAATCAAGGCACCTAATTTTACCACAAAAACGGCATTTAAAATGTGCTGAAAAACTCGGCTTATACACAAGTATATACGGTACTTTATTATACAGTACTTAGTTTTCTGTCCTTAAATTCATACAATAATTTACTGTAGAGAGAGGGAGTCTAGTCTTCTGGGTAAAAGTGCAAACTATATAAAAAGGCATGAAGCACAAATAAATGTCTTCAGCCACCCTGTAACCCTCACCCAACCCTGCAGCTCACCTCCACTCCATAATTAAACCTTATGTGGCACTGCTACTGAAAAAGTGGCAACTTCCTGAAGCACACACGGATCGTCCTCACTGTAAACCTGCACACATGGAGTCATTCTCTCCCTCACCTATCTTCAGTGCTACTGGGATTATTTCTTACTGTGCCACTTTCAAAGCTCACTGTAGGCACGGGCTACCTGTAGAAACTCTCAAGTATATACCAATCTGACTTCCTTTACTTTTCTCCTGCAGTTACTTCTAGCACAGAATTTATCATACTGCATTACAACAGCCCATTAAAGTTCTATCATAGGATTTACCCTACTGTATCCTACTGTTTCCCACTGTATTTATCCTACTGTAGTACTGTATATCCACTGCGCATTATCTGGCTGCACTGAGCAGCCAGAAATGTTGATGCATTAGTACAAGTTCCAGAATAATACATAACAAAGAACCATATTACTTTAAACATGAGCTTTCTTGTTTAAAATACAGCTCTGCTTCTTCACATAAGTCCACTAATCTACACTGTAAGGATTGGAATCAACATGAAACAAAATGTGTGTGAATTACTGAATAAAGAACTGATTTTGCTCTGCAAACCGCCACCCAGTTCACAATAAAATGTTTTACTATTGCTTTTCAAAGAGTAGGTTGATCAGGAAAAAAAATAAGTACGTTGCGATATTTTGAAGATGTTTGCAATTGAATATTATGAAAAGAACTACTCTATACTATTGGGCATTGTCCCAAGAATAATCTTTAGCATGCCACTAAGAGACATAGCTTTTTTTCCCCTCTCCTTCATGTCACTGCGGAAGATAAAATGTGTGCCCTAACATCCAAGTTCATTGTCATTGCTCTTTTATCCATGAACATTGGTAAATATATCCTGATTCTATCTTTTTACAGATTGTACCAGTTTCCAAAGTCAATATTTAGCAGTTCCTCTGCTAAATTGGAAAAAATCTGTTTTAGCTTATCCTATTTCTCTAAATTTAAAGGGTGTCCTTCTTTTGATCCTAGTTTTGAGAAACAAGTCCATTTTCACCTTATCTATATGATTTAGAATGCCTAGCACTGGTGGCACTGTGGATGAGGCGACTGCCAATCAAAAGGCTGGTGTGTATGAAACACCAGCCATCCCATAGGAGAAAGACAAGGCTGTCTCTGCTCCTGCGAAGAATTAAAGTCTCAGGAACCTGATATCGAGGTGCCATGAGTTAGAACTGACTGGTTGTACTGGGGTGGGGTTGATTTTTGGTATATATAATGTTTACTTTGAAAAACACAGGAAAACATGTTATTATTTTTCTGATCTGTATATATCATTAAATGTAACTTTAAAACACAAGTGTAAATTTTATAGAACAAAAATGAAATGTTTTGGGTAGGTGAAAGCTTCTAATACACTTAGCATTAAGTGACTGAGCAAAGATACTCCTTGAGTAGTAAGAAAATGACCAAAAGTTAGAATGATATATGAACCAACATTAGTTTAAATTCCACTTTTCCTTTAACATTTAAATAGCAAGTAACAAAATATTTAAGTAAACTCAAACAAGACAATAAGACAATGGTTAATTATCTTTCCCTCTGATATTTCTGACATGATTAAAGAATACTGTAACATAAAATGTCACATCAAACTAAGCTCAGACAATTACCCTTCCTAAAAATATTGATTAAAAACTCTGAAGAAACAAACCAAATTAAAAAAAGAACAAGCAAAATATAAGAGGGCGTTGAATAAGATTTTCTTATAATAAATTATATGAAGTACCAAGTTCAATAATAAACATAAAAAGAAAACCATTAATCCTTAAACATATAAACTATCTTTCTTCCAAAGATCTGATATTAAAATATCACAGACTTTCATAAAGCTAATTCACTAATCTGTAGTTTTTCATAATAAATTTGCAGTTCTATTTACCTTCAGATCCCATGATGAAGTGATGGATATCAGGGCCTGTTGACATACGAGGTCCTTGAGAGCTTTTTTGTATTACACCTCTAGGTGTTACCATTTTTATATGAACCACCTGTTCAATACAATACATGATGTAAATTCTAGACATCTGCCAGTAAATTCTGTGTAGGTGTGTCTATGTACACCTACATTTATATTTCTGTAAAACAGTTACTTTTAAAACACTGGATTAAGTGATAAATTGTAATATTTTTTAGTAATTCTTAGATTAAAGGTTAATTTGTATAAAGCTTTAAAACAATTCATCTAAAATAATACTCTTCTTGTTTTTAATTAATTTAGACATAGTCACTATCATCATAAGAATTAAAAAAGACTTTTCTTTAAAGTCTACCCAAGGTTTCCCAGATGACATTAAAGGATCCAAGACATCAGCAATGATCATATTGTAATAGGTTCAGTCTTTATTTAATGATACATATGGGAGCACTTTTATTCAAGTCAGGGGCTTGGGTAGCATAAGCAATTTTGGCTGCTAGCCTGAAGGATGGCAGTTTGAACCCACTCAAGCGGCTGTATGGAAGAAAGTTCTGGCTTCTTTAAAGATTACATGCAAGAAAAAAGAAAACTATGGGACACATCTCCTTTGTAACACGTGAGGGGCCCAAGAGGTGGGGATTGATTCAACAGCAGCTAATAACATTACTTATGTCAGGCACTGCTCTCGATAATGAAATTCTGTCTACTCTACCCACTTAAATAGAAAAGAGTAAAAAGAATGACCTATTAGTTAAGATCAAATAAAAAATGAGATAAAGAGAGATATCCAGCTATTACTTAAAGAAACAGAAAAGATAGCTGGGCGATATGCAAGGGAACTTCAAAACTTTGTGGAAAAATTCCACTATCCTTCCATTTCATTTTTGCACAAACTTTCAGTAGCGCACTCATATGTGTAAGATACATCTCACACAAATGAGGAAATAAGCCTGTGGGTCCAATCAAAAACAGTCTCTAAAGTCTGTACTAGAAACAGGAAACAAGACAACACATTTTTAGCATGGTTTTGTTTTCTGACAGATAAATAACTATTTGCTATTGAATGAAATGAAAACAGCAATAATCAATTCATAAAAAAAAGAAAGGTCAAAGAGTACTTTTTAAAAGTTTATATTCGGTCATTAAACACAAAATTAAAAGAAACTCCCCTGCTCCCAAGGAAAACACCTCCAGTGAAATAAAGATTCTCATACTACTAGTCGAGATGCCAAGTTTTACAAAATTTCTAACTTTTTGATTCAACAATTCAAACTCCAGAATGTATCCAAAGAAAATGATTGACGATAAATGCCAGAGAAATTAGTAGAGGATGTTCTCTTTCATTTTCAGTAAGCTTTTAATGAAAAACAATTTAAATGTTTTCTAATGGAGGCCTATGTTAATAACGTCAAAACAAAAACTAGATCCATAAAGCCATTAATAGAAATGGATTACAGTTCATTAAATGCATGCTTTGCATATTGGAATAACATTCCAACTATCCCCCACTGCCATCGGGTGGATGGCAGTTCACAGGAACCCTACAGCGCAGAGCAGCACTGCTCCCTAGGGTTTTCAAGGCTGTAAACGTCTTACAAGAGAGGCAGAATGTTTCTCTCAAAGACTGGGTTGTGGATTTGAACTGCTGACATGGTAGATAGCAGGCTAACATGCAACCCACTACCCCCACTGGGGCTCAGTAAGTTTCAAGTGGGAGTCAAAATTGTTCCAAAGATTAAAGAACTTCCAAAGAGCACGGCTAGAGAGCTCCTGAGAAGCAAGGTTGGCAAGACCTCATCATGTATTGTTTGGGCAGTATCAGGAGGACCAGAACCTAGCCACCATAGTTGGTAAACTGGGAAGGGCAGTGGGAAAGAGGAAGGCCTTGCAAGTCTGGCTAGACCAGAGGGTGTGCACTGGTACAGATAGGAACTGGAAACACAGGGAATCCAGGACAGATGAGCCCTTCAGGACCAGTGGTGTGAGTGGTGATACTGGGAGGGGAGAGGGAAAGTGGGTTGGAAAGGGGGAACCGATTACAAGGAACTCTATGTGACCTCCTCCCTGGGGGATGGACAACAGAAAAGTGGGTGAAGGGAGACGTCGGACAGGGCAAGATATGAAAAAATAATAATTTATAGATTATCAAGGGCTCATGAGGGAAGGGGGAGCGGAGAGGGAGGAGAAAAATGAGGACTTAATGCTGGAGGCTTAAGTGGAGAGGAAATGTTTTGAGAATGATGAGGGCAATGAATGTACAGTACAAATGTGCTTTACACAATTGATGTGTGTATGGATTGTGATAAGAGTTGTATGAGCCCCTAATAAAATGATTACAAAAAGAAAGAGGAAGGCCTTCAATGAAATATATTAGCGCAGTGGCTGCAAAAATGGGCTCAGGTTTAAGAACCATTGTAAGGGTGGCACAGGACTGAGCAAGCATTTCTTTCGCTGTGTGTAAGACAGCTATGGGTTGGAACCAACTGGATGGCAGCTAACGACAATGACAAAGAGTCTTACATCCCATATTACCTACACGTTGCCATGGAAACATGGTACTAACAATGCTATTTCTGCACAGAAATCGTTCAATGAAAGATACCAATCAAGTATTTACTAAGTAGGCTACTGTTAACATTTAAATGTGAGTTTAGGAAACCTGGAGAAAGACAAGGTTTTCTACTCTCATCAAGAGGTACCGTCTCAGAAATCCACAGGGGCAGTTTGTTCTACCCTGTCCTATAATGGCTGGGAGTGGTCAGAACTGACTCCGTGACCGTGGCTTTTAGTAAACCAGTTGCTCAAGCCTCAAGACTCAAAAGAACATCAGAGGGCAAAGGCGTGGATGGGCCACTCCAACTCCATGGATCTCAGAAAGCTGGATTCCAGAAGAAATAAACTATGTTCCTCAATAATTATCAGAAAATAATTATATAGTCTTTCAAAACAATGATACAAACTTATGTCAATTTTCTTAGTAGTATGTCGATAAATATAAAGGGCAGATGAAACACAAAATAGTTTATTATTAAAAGCTAGATATAAAAAATTTTTTTAAAAGCTAGATATATACGTATGTTTATGAGTATGTCTATGAAAGGGTTTGAAAAAACATGAACATGCTAAAAAGTTGTTATAAGTGCTCATATGTATTAAGTATATAAAGTATAGCTGAATCTTCTGTACTTCTGAAATGAGTATGTATTTTTAAAGTAAGGATTTTTAATTGCTAACGTATTTTATCATAACTGTATGGTTTAAGAGAAGGATCTTCTTTGGAAAAAAAATTTTAAAAACCAAAAGCTCTATCACATACATGATTTTGTTTGTTCAAGTTCAGGATTTTTAGGGTGATTTTATCGCTCTGTGAATGTACATTATTTTACCTATATCTGTCTTATCCTTGTATCCCTCTACCACAGGAATGTATAGCAGTGGACTTTTGTAATAGTCCTGCGTTTCATCTTTGCAGGGCCAGTAGCAGAAAGTTGAAGCAGAAAGCCTGATGTGTTTAGTACAGAGATATTTACAAAATCAAGAAATATTTAAGTTCTACTATAATTGGCATTCTTTAAAATGACCTTGAAAACAAGTATGGGCCAGAAATTAAAATAAATTCCATCTATCATCTATAGAAAGCACTTAAAATTTCCAAATCCTCAGATCATTATATAGAATAATTGTGACTACACAACTATCGTTAGTTTTGTTTCCAAACCAATTAAATAAGGTATTGGTATCATTGTCTACTGTACTTTAATTAAATACTAACACTGACTGGAGAAATAAATCAACACTCAAAAAAACTAAATTTATTTTCATGAGTCCTACTGTAGCTACTTAGATAAAAATATCAACCTAGTAAAACTTCCATAGAGCAATTCATGATAAATTCAGACTGCTTCAGAGAAAACCAGATATTGCAAAAGAAATTTAGGTCAAGAACAAAATATGCTAAGTAATTACTAAAGTAAAAAAGTACATTAGGATGCATGTTTATACCTTGTGGCTTTTTGATCTCTTAACATGACTAAACTATATGCTTCAGCAGTGCTAAGTGAGGCTGTCTATCAAATGTGTGCAGAACTCCAAACAAGATCTTAATAAGCAATAGCACAAAAACCAAAGTCTCTCCTGACACAGAATGTAAATTATTTTAACTCCAACAGGAAAAATGGAATTTTAATATCTTCAATTAAAATTATAAATAATGTAAAAAGTATTCATAAAATAAGACACTTAAAGAGTCTCAAATTATTTGGTATTAACTATAAAACACAAATATAGTTCATTAAAGATTTTATATTTCCATCAATACAGACAATAATGAAAATGTTGAGATTTCGTAATTGAAAAGCAAAGCTCAACCGTTTTAGGTATAATGCTTTTATAATCATTTTAATAGCTTTGCAAATTAAAAGTTCTTTAAAATTATTATTAAAATACCAAGGACTATGAAGCAACAACCAACACACCAGGGACTTTTGATATGAGTTTTCATTTTATGTTGTTTGTAGCGAAAATATCATTAGTGTTTAACAGAAGGAGTACCTGGCTGGTGCAAACAGATAATGTGCTCCACCATTAACCAAACACATGGAAGTTTGAGCCCACCAAGGTGTACCTCAGAAGAAAGGCCTGACCAGCTGCTTCTGAAAAGTCTGACCATGCTTCTACTCTGACCCGCAGAGGATCCGCACGAGTCAAAGCTAACTCAAGGGCAACTATTTTTTTCACAGACGAGGGTATGAAATTTGGAAAGGTAAACAATATGTTAAGGTCATATTTTTTAAAGTTGCAAATGGAACAAAAAATAGCTAATTGCTAATCAGGCGGCCCATATTTACCCTGTGTCAACACTTGTTCCCATAGAACTAGCACTAAGACCACCTAACACAAAACTGTGTGCACATGAAACATTACATGTCATTCTGTTACTCAGTAGAACGTGTTCAATCAGGCTCTGCACTTTTACATAGAAAAAATTGTTTTCAAAACAGGAAATGTTACATATTTAGGTAACAGGGTACTGACAAGAAGATATCTAAATAATAACTATTACCTCGGTGAGTTGAAAACTGAATGTCTGAGAAGCTTATAAAATAAAATGTATATAACGTATAAAAAAAACTCCATGAAATATCTACAAAGTGTACATAGCAAGCCATCTAAAGAGCTGTTGTCAGTGATCTGCCCAAACCAAGCAAACCCACTGCTTTTCAGGCCAATTCCACCTCATGGGAAACCTGCACAACAGAATACAAGCATGAGAGCTTAAGAAAAACGTGTGGAAAAAATGCAACTGAGATCATGGATTTTTCCACCGGCTTCCCAAAGCCCTTTGGGTTCAAACTGCCAGCCTTTTGATTAGCAGCCTAGAGCTTTAACAAGGATGCCACCCGGTGTCCTTCAGCACCCTGTAGCAACAGCCAACTTGCCTAATTAATGACCACAGCTGTTTCTTTTAGTTGCTTCTTGGGGCCCTGATGGGGCAGTGGTTAGACCCTTGGCTGCCAGCTACCTGGTCAACATTTGGAACCTGCCAGCCATTGCTGGGGAAAACGACGCAGCAATCTGTTTCCCCAACGATTTACAGCCAAGGAAACCCCAGGAGGCTGTCCTACTCCACCCTGTAGGTAGGGTCTCTAAGTCAGAATCCACTCAACAACAAAGGGATTGCTTTGGGTGTATATACTACTTAATGTTATTATAATCAAAAGGGGTAGATCTTTTTCAGAGCCTTGCCATACAGTTCTTAATTGTCAAAGACATTTAATCATTTAAAAATAATCTCTACGTACTAATTAATTATGTAATACTTAGAATTTACCAGGTCTTCAATATTGCCATAGATGTTCTTCTTCATGCCTGAAGCCCGAGTAGATACCCATCCGCCCAAAGTGCTGAATTCCAGGGAGTCTGGTTCATGGCCTGTACAATAACCACTTTCTTTAAGCTGAAAAACAAAGGCACATTTCACTAAATGGGCCCACTTCACACAGCAGTCAACACATCAACCTTCCCTATTGTAACATGTCCCTATGTCACTGGTTTTCGGATTCATTTAAAACTGTATAGAAAAAAGAAATACTTTCATCATACTCATAAAAGAAAAAAAAAGATACTTTGAGGAGCTGATACCAAGGACGTAGAAAAAATGTTTTGAGAATGAGGAGGGCAACAAATGCACAAATGTGTTTGACACAATGGATGTGTATATGGATTGTGATAAGAGTTGCATGAGTCCCCAATAAAATGATTTAAAAAAAAAAAGATTTTGCCTGATTTGGGCCAAAAGACAATTGTTATCCGTTTCAGTGTTTCTACAGGTTCACTAGGCAAACTCATGTCTTATGCCTTTTTGTTTTAAAGCCATCCACCCTCTTTCTACTTTTTCCCTCATAAAAAGGCAATTTAAATACTTATGGCGATCAGATTATGCTTAAATAACTGCCAACTTCACCTAAACACTTTCAATAAATAAAGCACTTAATCTCTTGTTCTCCCTACCTTAATATAATATGCAGCAGGTCTGCAGAAAATGTGAGCAAATTGCCTGTACTTAATTCTCTCAAGGAGTCATGTGTTTTAATGTACAGCCATCTGGCTAGGTTTCTTGCATGTAATATGGTCATTTATTTGTGATTCAGATCATGCATTCCTGTACATTAAATAGTCACTTGTTTCTCATTTTTCTATATTAGCTTGGCTTTGCCATCTGCACAGCACCTGAGGTTGAATGGATGCCCTTTCCTAAAACCCCAGAGCCAATCCACTGAAATCACGGTAAAGACTCAGCCATCTTGTGTCAAACACAGAGGCACCACCATCTGCATCCCCACTCTCTACTGCACTCAAGCCCATCAATCTGCGTTGACCACTTTGACTGTTATCCAGCTAAGCAACTGCTTCTGTTTTCAAATAAGCCAAGCAGAGATGTACAATATGCCAACTATGTCTGTAGCAGTGTATGTATTTATGTAAATACGGTATGAAAGTTGTAATCCAAAATTTGAAAGCTCACTAGGGTTAACATACATTTATTGAGTTTCATGCACCACCAATGTAAATCATATAAGGTATCTAATGTCATTGCTAGCAAAAAAAGATTTAAAGAGTTATCGATTGTTACATAATAGAATTTGTTTCACTAAATATTATTTATGTACAGTTTTAGAACTAATCCACTTATGTAAGTCCCTAAATATACCAGTAAACACATGAAACGGAAGACTATAAGACTATTAATTTATGTTTCTTCTTTAGTTCCTATCACCAAAATCTGTATTCATATTTACTTTAAAAAGAATACTGTTACTAAATTTTCTAAATAACTAAACTGAGAATACATTTATGGATTTGCTAAAATGTGCTAGGCTTAATTAAGCAGGGAATTCCCACATATCCTCATGATAAAACAAACCTTCACATTATCTACAAAGCAGAATATTATATATTTATATTATTTGTATCAGTAAACCCAAATATTAGGTTATAGTATGCCAATGAGCCATGCAAACATCAGTCTTTACAACTCTGAGACCAGAACTACATAGTGTCTGCTTACTAACCACTACAAACTCTTCTAAAAAGCATCCAATTAACAGTGGTTCTCAACCTTCCTAATGCTGCAATCCCTTAATACAGTTCCTCATGCTGTGGTGACCCCCCAACCATAAAATTATTTTATGGTTGCTACTTCATAACTGTAATTTTGCCACTGTTATGAATCGTAAATACCGGTATCTGATATGAAGGATGTATTTTCATCGTTACAAATTGAACATAATTAAAGCATAGTGATTAATCACAAAAACAATATGCAATTATATATTGTGAAATACTTATTTCTAATTATGAATACTGTATATACTCGTGGATAAGCTGAGTTTTTCAGCACATTTTTATGCCATTTTTGTGGTAAAATGAAGTGCCTTGGCTGATATTTGGTCAGTTTATACTGGAGTATATATAGTAAATGAAATTTTGTCTTTAACAATGGTGTAGCATGGGTAACAGTCTTCACAGCAGGTCCTCATAGGTGGGTGTAACTGCATGTGGGTGGACCCGCCTGGAGACGAAAAGAAGAACAGGGTTTCGGTTCCTAAGACCATGGGAAATATGTTCTACTTAGGATCAATTGTTAATAAAATGCCTTGAAAACATTGTTAAACTATTATCTTTGCTTTGTAATTTGCTGCTGTAAGATGCAAAGAACTGGAATAAAATGGAACCTATTTGTTGAGGAAGTATTAAAAATTTTCAGTAAGCCAGGGTTTTAAAGTCAAGATGATTAGGTGTATTATTATAATTTAGCATCAACTTCAATGGGCAGAATATTTAATGTAACACCTGCATCAATCTTCCATTATGCCTGAATGAGGCATTATCAACACAACGATTATTTTATAATACAGGATGGCCGTTCATGTCTCCAATTTTATATCTTTTATTATAGCATTTGATGTAGTATTTTAACCTTTCCAAGTTTTCATTTTTTTTGAAAGGTTAGAATTAAAATTCAAGGAACATATTTCCTTGAAATTTAAGTGACATTTTCGTAGACTAGGAACTTCTGATATTTTACCTACTAGTTCATTTCCCTAAATGCCAATGTAGAACTTTCTCTTTTGCCTCTAGTGGGGAGTATAATAGACTTCTGTAGCTATTTTGATCCCAGTTCAAGCTCTTCCTCATTACTTCAGTTCACTTCAGCTGAATGAAGGTAACCAGCATAGGATGGTCCAGATAGTTTTTCCTTCTTGAAAGTTTAAAATGATGCACAGTAGTTTAAAATGATACATTCCTCCCCTCCCATTATCAAAGCACCCCAGTGGCACAAATAATTAAGTACTTTATTGTTTCCGAGCTAGATGGCCACTTGTTTGCCTACAAGCCTTTAAGACCCTAGACACTATATCTTTTGATAGCCGGGCACCATCAGCTTTCTTCACCACATTTGCTTATGCACACACGTCTTCAGCGATCATGTCAGGAAGGTAGGTAACATGAAATGACGGTTTAGCTGAGCAAGGTGCTCTTGTATTAAGGGAATGCGTATGAGGAGGCCCAATGTCCACCTGCCACCCTACTACTAAACCTATAAATATTTGCACCTAGGTTCATTCCTCCCATAATCTTAAATATATTTACATATGTACATGTCTGTATTTAGGCTTCTATGTATGCCCTTTGCCTCCTACTCCTTTCCTCTATTTCCTTACACTTTCCTCCTGTCCCATTACCATGTGCAGCCTTCATTCTGGTTTCGGTAATTCCTCTCAGTTATGTAGGTAAAAACATTTAACTGAGTTTAGTAATTAGTGCAGGGGCAGTGAATTATATAATGTGGTTCTTTTAGCCAAAGTCTCTAACTCCCACCAAAGGACCTTTCCCTGAATGGGTCTGGTAAGAAGGTGGGGAAAGATACTAACAGGGTTCACCTGTAAGCTAACTGCGGCCAGGATGCGTGAAATGCTATCCTGCTGTGTATAGAATGAGCCCTCTGAGCAGCAGGAGTGGGTAAACTTCTAAAAGGAGCTTTACAAAACTCCTATTAAATGATCTCTCTGTACCATTACTATATCCACCCACTCAATATAAAAACACCCAGAGAATGTGTTCTATCATACAGTCATGATATGCTTCAACCATACTAGTCCATTTGAGAACCCTAAGGGCTACCAAACCACACACCCACTGCACCCTTACTGGGTTTCTGAGAAGACTGTATGTCTTTTTTTGGTGAGGCCAGCACCATCTTTCTCCCCTGAAGTGCAGCAGCTCCTGGTGAAGGCTCAGGACATGCCCCTTCCTCACCTGAATTGCTCTCTTTTTTGTGGGATTATAATAAGACTTTTCCCCAGCTTTGTCTCCCCCAAAGAAATGCCAAACATTAGAGGCTGTTTGCTAGCACATGGTGGAAGGTCAGATGCTTAGAGATATCTATCCTCCCTGAAGGCCTTAAACCACTGTCTGGTCCTGCCACAGATGAGGTTCACTCCCTGCTGTTAAGGACAATGGATTACTTCCCCTAAAAGCTTAGGCTAAATCAAGTCTCCAGCTCAAGGGCAATCAAGGTTCGGCCACCGTCATGAATTGTCACGTGTACCCCCAATCCCTCCCCTTCCTACTGCATGTATACCCCGAGATCATCCCCCACATTACTGTAGTACCTATAGTACTACCCCTTCCTGTGATGTATGTCTTTTACCTGTAATTAGGGGGCGTGCATGCCTCCCAAAGATATATAAGCCTTGGTTAGCTCTCCCCCGTCCCTGCTCCCCATGTCCCTCCTTATTCCTCTTCTCCTGCCCTCTCTGTCCACGCTATGCGGACCTGGCTGTTGAGATCATGGCTGTCCAGGTGAGCATGCTGCCATGAAATGTGTCTGACCCTGTTAATTCAATCTCTCTTATTATCTATGACTTTACTTATTATTGCTGTACAATTGTACTTATCAAACCCACGATTAGTTGGGGGGCGGGGGCTGGCCGTCCCCCACACTCTTTTGTTCTCATTCCCATTCATCTTAAAGTCTTGTGATAAATGCTATGTCCTGTGATTGCCTTCTTTGGCCACAGCTTTCCCCTACCTCTATTTGATGGGTCTAACACCCTGCATTTAACCATCACAGAGTAACTCTCATTCTGAATCATAATTGTCCGCTCACCTTGTTTTCTTAAAATAAACTCCCTGAGGGTAGGGGTAATGCATAATTCACTATTGTGTCATCTAGCTCAAAGTCTGCAGCAGAATAAAATTGGAACAAATTTGTTCAGTGAATGACTGTTTAACAGAAGGTACTTCATTCAGAGGGGGCAACAGTGCTTGTAAAAACCTCAACCCCAAAGTAACAAACCTGTCTTTCCAGATCTTGTCCAGTTATGCCAGCCTCTACATGAGCCGTCAGGTTATTCTCATCAACCCAGAGGATTCGATTCTGGTGCAAAGTAAAAAGAAGTCTGATATCTATGTAATATTAACACGTTTTTATTCTTCTTCAGGAAATATAACTTTATAACTCAAGCAGCCAGTGACAAGATATTAAGTAGGGCTTCCCCCACCCACAAGGGAAAGCTCCACTTATTTTGTAACTAGACAATGTAAGAAACACGGTTAAGAAAGGCAACATACTATGTGGAGACAGGTTAAAAACTTGGCTTCTTCTTCAGTCAGCTATTAATTTAAATTAAATCTTGCCTCTTACCTTAAGCAAAAAAATCTCTTAACTGTTCAAGCTTAGGGTTTTCTCGGTTGTAAAGTGTGGATAGTAATAATATATACCCAGAGAACAAAATGAGATAGCACACGAAAAAAGCTTAGCACACACAGGACTGGCATTCTGTAAGTACTATCTGCTTAGGTGTTAACACAGTTAGCAATCTTTCTACTTTAGAAGTATCAGATGACAACCATAAGGCTAGAAAAGGCGATTGCAAAGACATCTGTACAAAGACATATCATACAAATGATATCCCTACTTTATTTATGATCCAAAATAAAACCAGAGAAACTGGGCAAACAAACAAAAAACTGCATTCCTGCCTCATAAGCAAAATTAGAAACTGAGTATCAACCAGCTCAATTCACCAAATGTATGACTGTCAATAAAAAATGTAACATTCTTATTTTGATGAATGCTTACACGTACACACAAATCTTCTTGAGTTACTTCTACTCTTAAGAGCAGACTCTTCCAACACTTCTGTCGGACTCACCAGCCAAACAACATATAGAACTCTCTACTGGATTTCAGGAGCGCTTTATTTGCACTTTGCTATGGTTAAGTTCACAACAGTAACTTATCAGGATAAGTCTAACTAATATTAAAAACAAAGCGACACACTAAATTGCGTGTATACTCGTGTATAAGCCGAGTTTTTCAATACATTTTTAAAATGCAGTTTTTGTGGTAAAATTAGGTGCTTCAGCTGATATTCAGGCCGGCTTATACTCCAGTGTGTACGGCAAGCCAGAAAGTCTTTAATTACAAACTGGAACATATACAAGTAACTAGGCATTGTTTAATTCACAGAGCTCGGCCATACTATAATGCCACCCAAGCCAGATGTGATCAATTCCAAATCTTGTAGCCTCCACGTGTGTCCAAGTAGAACTGAGCTCTGAAGGCTTCTCAGTGGCTACTTTTTCAGATGTAGATTGCCAGGCCTTTTGTCCAAAACCCCGAAATCTCCCTGCCAGCAAGTTGCTACTGACTCACAGACATCCTACAGGACAGAGTAGAACGAGTCTTTGGGTTTCCGAGAGTGAAATCCTTTACTGGAACAGAGAACTTAATCTTTCCCCTGGGTGAGTTTGAACTGATGGATATTTTTGTTGTTGTTGTTTAGCAATGTTTAATTCTAAACCACCAAGGTGCTTCTAAATCCAATAAAACCTCCAAACTTTTGGTTAGGAACAGAACATGTTGATTTTTTGTATCACCCAGGGATCTCCATAATACTATTAGTATAAGCATTAAATGAGTATGTAAATGTATTTCTTATTTTTTGTTAGTTAAAACCACCTGTGATAGTTAATGTTGTTTATCCAACTTGATTATGATATGATTCTCAGGGAATTGGCAGACACTATGCAAAATCACCATTCTGTGATCGGATATGAGCAAGCCAATCAGTTAAAAGGAGAGCTCCCTTGGAGTTGAGACCTCCCTCCAGTAGAGAAATGAATGTTCTGGCAAAGTTCTCTCCCTCTAGCTCCTGCATGCTTCTCATCTCACCTCCAGATCTTGGGCCTTGAGCCAACAGAGCCTTCAGCTTGCCCTCTGACACAACGATCTGGAACCTGACAGCCCTACAAATGCATCACTCACTTCCTTGAAGTAGATCTCATTCTACACCCACTCCGCCTTTACTGACATAGTTAGGTTCCAAATCCAGATTGTCCTGCTAAATTGGCATTATATAAGATTCAGGGCCACACCCTGTTTTCAGCACTGTGTCACCTGCCAACTCTGCCCCCTAATCCCCCCCTCCCCATCTCCACCTTTCAATTTGTAGTACCTCTGGTACCTCTTGGGATCAAATAAGAGCAGTGGGACCCCCTTTCTCATCACGAAGCCCACAGGGTGAGGGTGTCAGGTTTTGCCCACCATCTCTCACTGCCCATGCTGGGAGGGACTGTGCTTGTCCTCCATTTTCCCCAGCATGCACAGCCCCTTGTCCTTCCCATCGTGCCCACTCGGTGCTCACTTGGCCTCCCTCTGCCTTACTGCTATCAACCCGGGCCCTTTGTGGCTAGACTATGACATTATGGACAAATGGGAGGTGTTCCATGACTGGTCAGTCACTGTTCCTCTGGTGGCTGACTCATCATCAAAGAACCCTGGTCGGGACGCAGCTCTGAAGGGGCCCAGACCATCAGAGGGTCCACCTGAGAATTTTTTCAAAGGTGTTTCAAGGAGAGAATCACTCAGGAAGTGAACAGTAGACCTATCTACTTATAGATACATTTTGCTGGTTTAGCTCCTTTAGAGAACTTAGATCAAGATACCAACGCTATGATGCTACTCTCTGCAAAGGACACTTTCAAAATAATTTCAAGGTAATGATGGAAAATTCAGGTTTTTCATCCTATAGCAACTATAGAATGGGAAGTATTTAAACCTGTAGAGTGAAAAGACAAAGAAACATATTAACCTGATTGGCCCCTTATATTGTATGTATCTTCTCCCAACAGACTGGCTATTGAGACAATTATGTATTTGACCTAATTCTATACTTTGTACTTAACCAGGTGTCTCAATATATTTTTGGTTAACAAAAGAAAGTGAAAAACGAAAAGAAAACCAATTTTATGAAAGGCTTAGAGAAAACTTTCGAGAAACCTAAAGAAAATAAACAGACTACTATATTCCATCTATTCCACCCAGTATGTTCTATCCAAGTTCATAATGAAAAGAAGAACAAAACCTCTTGTATTACCATATACATCTCATTATAAAACTGGTACAACTCTACTTATATCTCTCGTACCAGAAAGGAGCCCTGGTAGCACATCGGTTAAGCACCACTCTGTAACTGAAAGGTCGGTGATCGGTTATCCAAACCTACCCCGTGGATTTGTGAACAAAAGACCCAGCTACCTGCTTCTCTACATTATAGCCCTGGTGGGTTCTGCCGTCACACAGGGTAGCTGTGATTCAATGACATCCAACATATCAGAAGTACCCTGTGTAAACTCCCGCACAGGACTGAGTGATGAGTACCACCTATCCCTAGCAACTCAGACTGTTTAAGGTGAACTGCATCCACTTTCTCTGTTAAATAAATGTTTTAAAAGGGCATTTAAAATTTTATATTAGAATATCAAGCACCTACTTAAGTGTCAAAACGGACACTATATCCTTTGTTAATAACAACTGAGATTGAGTCATAAAGATGTTTCAAACAGAAAGTTATCTCCCAGTACATTATCACTTACCATCTGTGAAGTATCCAAAGAAATAATTGTTCTTGTCTCATCGGCAGGGCACATCAGGCCGTGTGAAACACTTGTTCCTCCTGCCAAAACAGGAAGTGACAGCTGTCTAAAAATTTTATTTTTACCTATACTCTTAAAGGAAACCCCTAACAGAGTATATAAGTAGTTACACACACTAAGAAAATGATACCTATTTCCACTTTGTAAAAACATGATCTGAAAATGCTAACACGCTAAAAACAAACTCACCTTTATTTTCTGCGGTGTGACAAAGGGAAGAAATGCTATGAAGTGGAAAGCAAAAGGGTGTGACGCCAATCTCAGGGTATGTCACCCTCAACTGGAGGCCCTAGCAATTTATGGAACTCCAAAACCATGGTTAGAAATGTTCTAAAAGCTAATGATTACTGTGCAGAGTTGGCTTAATAGAAAAAAATTTTCCCATCCTATAAAAGAATTAAAGACACCATGACCTCCTCTCTATCATAATCATGAGTCATTTATTATTTAAGAAATTGCTTTATGTTCTCATAACAGATGACTTCAATATATTGTCCAGATTATATAATAAAACAAGTTTGCCTGTTTTGAGGTGAAAAACTGATGGTACTACAAAAGAAACATAAGCATTTAAACAAATTATTGATGTTTTCTTAGTACTGGTTGTCAAAAGAAAAATGTATTTTTGACACCAATAAGGAAGACTATATTTCCAGTTCTTAACCAGATCTCTATCACCCTTTTCAGAATAATTTCTTCAATGATACTTCCATGCATTTTGGAGAGGAAAAAAACGTAGAAGTCACTTTGGGACAAGGTAAGAATTACAGGAGGTGTTGCTCTATAGGGCTCAGCTGAATTTTATAAGGTGAAACCATAACCTATCTGTTCAGAACATATCTGCAATCAGGAACCACTGTTTTCTTGTCAAGTTATTTGAAATCAGAAAAATATTCACAATAAAAAGGAGCACTGTGGTGTACCACCTTCTCCCCCACGCCCACCTCACCGCCAGCCCATGAATGCAACAAGTAAAACATAGCTAAAGCTGAAGCAGCTCTGGGTTTCTTGAGGCCTCATTCCATCAGTGGCAAGGCTGTCAGTGAAATCAAGTTCTTTTGGCTTGTGTAAACTGGTAAAACAATATGGTGGGGAAAAAGATCCAAAGAAACAAAATTCGTCTTAAAAATCAACAAGAGCACTAGTTTTCTGTATTAACAGGCATTACTAATCTGGTCAATATTGAACTGGTTAATCTTTGCTTTGCATAGCATTCATTCTCAAATGGTTATATGTTATTTATAGTTAACCTTCAGGGAAATAAAATTCTCTCCAGAAATGTACAACTTGGAATGTAGTTACTAAAGCAGAACTTGTTTAGGTATGAAATCTCAGCTTCAACTCGACACATATGGAACAAAGCAATGGACTCAAAGTCCATGACATCCCAAACAGTTTAGATGGACTGACTTAGAACAGTAATGAACGTCATACAGTTTGATAATAAGCATATTATACCTATAAAAATGTTTTCAGTCAGTTTATAACATCTTAAAATTCAAAATGTGTAATACCTACCCCCAATTGGTATGATACAAAGGTTATATTTGCATGCTAGATTCACAATCTTAACTACATCATCATGACATGCTGTTGAAAAAAAGGAAAATAAATTAATCACAGGAATATCAAAGACCCTGCAAAATAAGTATCTAGAATGTTCCTTGGCATCTTCATTTTAAACAGGCTGTTTATTAATTTTTTAATGTTTTTCTGAAAACATCTTAGACATACAGAAATGTTGTAAAACTGATACAAAAAAATTTCCTTCGCCCAGCATCCTTAAATATTAACATCTTTTAGAATGATGGTTCAATGATCAAACCTAAGCAATCAATGTGGGTACAATTCTATTAACTACTCTGCCGTCCTTGTTCAACTGTTGCCAATTGTCCTAATGTCCTCCCTCTTTTCTGGATGAGAATAAAATCCAGGACTACACCCTGCAGTTAGTTATCACTCTTCCTTCCTCTTCTTTAAGACAGTTCTTCCATGTGTCTTTCATTCTCCTATCCATGAAATTTTAACAGTTATTGGTCAGTAAAGACTTCATAAACATCCCTCATTTGGGGTTTGTACGGCAGTTCTCCACGATCAAGTTCAGGCTATACATTTTGGACAAGAACTCCACAGAAATAGTGTGCCTTTCTTTGTGCATTATATTTAGATGCACGAGGTAGACATGTCTTATTTCAGGTAATGTTAGCTTTCTTCATTTAGTTATGTTGCATATACTAGGCTTCCTAACAATAAAAAATAAATAAAGCCTACTGCCATCAAGTCAATTCTGACTCATAGCTACCTTCCAGGACACAGGAGACCTGCTCCCTGGAGTTTCCAAAACCATAATCTTTATAGGAACATATCTCATGTCTCATCTCTCTCCCATGGAGTGTCTGATGGGTTCAAACTACTGATCATATGGTTAGCCGCCCAAAGCACAACCCACTATATGCCATGGGGGGGGGGGGGGGGGGGGGGGGGCGGAGGGGGTGGTGTCCTTTAGGATGTTGTGTTTCTGGTGAAATTAATAATTGACTTGTGGGGAGATACTGAAGACTATATAAACATCATGTTTCCATATTTATATCAACAAATTGTAGTATCCATTGAGGCTTTTCCCTTCTGTTGCGGTTTGTTTTGTTGTTGTTTATGACGAATGAATGGTAAATACCAGGAATCCTCAAACTATGGCCCGCGGGTCACATGTGGCCCACCAAGGACATTTATCCGGCCCACTGGGTGTTTTTGCCTGCCTTTTTTTACTTCAAAATAAGATATATGCAGTGTGCATAGGAATTTGTTCATAGTTTTTTTTTTAAACTATAGTCCGGCCCTCCATCGGGTCTGAGGGACAGTGAACTGGCCTACTGTTTAAAAAGTTTAAGAAGCCCTGGTAAATACTATGTATAATGTACTCCACATGCATTCTTTTTTACTGTAAATAACTAAAGAATAAATCAAGGTAAAAGTTATGTTAGTCACGTGGGGAGGATTTTAAATGAGGTGCTACGACTCAATTCGACAGATAATAGGGCATTAATGGAGATTGTTAAAGAGGTGAGAGTAACACAAAAAGGGGAACATTTTAAAGACTGCATCACACAGAGGAAATTTACATACAAATGATGTAAATTTGGAAATTTACTGTTGACAAACTATTTCCAAGGAGTTCTTATACCCAGAGATTCAACAAAATAAACATATACACTTGATTTGTTCAGCAATGCACCCTTCATTCATATAAGACAGCAAAGGGAATCCTTTAGAAAAACAACCGCTCTCAATGCTGTACGGGAGGGACGAGAAAACGAAGGCACAGAAACTCTAAGACTATTGGAAAACCTAGGCATATACTGATTGAGGCCTGACGGAGATTCAAATGGAAAAAATACAAAAGGGCAAAACTGTGAAGGAACTAACCAAAATAGAAATAAACAAATATATATATATATATATAGATATATATATATATATTTTTTCTTTTTTAAATCATTTTATTAGGGGCTCATACAACTATTATCACAATCCATACATACATCAATTGTGTAAAGAGCATTTGTACATTCATTGCCCTCATCATTCTCAAAACATTTCCTCTCCACTTAAGCCCCCGGCATTAGGTACTCATTTTTCCCCTCCCTCCCCGCTCCCCCATCCCTCATGAGCCCTTGATAATTTATAAATTGTTATTTTGTCATATCTTGCCCTGTCCGACGTCTCCCTTCACCCACTTTTCGGTTGTCCGTCCCCCACAAAATAGAAATATTTTACAAAGCACATAATCTGTGTAATGTCCAACTCCATCTGTTTCCCAAACCTGTATTTTTAAAACTCTTTGGATTTCTTAAAGCTAGACATATATTTTCATTATTATATTCTCTTAGTATTTTAATAATCAAACACACACAAAAGCACATTTGAAAGTCCTATTCAGAATATATCAAAGAATGTTCTATAAGGTTTCCTGTGTGAAATTACACTAAATAAATTTTCCTTTTATTACTTCCCAGGAAAAAACAGAGTGAGCCTAAAGCTAAAAGCATTGCTTTGACTTCAGGGTACGTTTTTCTTGTGCAGGAACAATTACATTTCTATACAAACTAAAAAAGACGAAATATTTCTTTCCTAACTAATCCAAAGGCACAGAAGAATTTTTATCACAAGTAGGGGGTAAGTAATTTCATCTCTTTTATATACATGAATTGCACTAAGCTTTTAAATTAACCAAAAAATGCATCTTTCCATTGATATCCCAATATGAATATTTACATTCACAATAGACTTAACTCATCAAAAATAAAACCAATCCTTACCACCTACAACGAAAGGTAATCAGAGATCTAAAAATACAGCTATCTTTATTTTTTACATGCAAAATTTACTTAAGATTTAACAACACTAGATGTAAAAGGGAAAAGAAAAAAACTTACTTGGCCATAAAACTATATCAGGAATTCGCTGAAATATTCCTTCCCTGAGCATAACTATCTCATGAAGACAATGACCTAGTTTTATAGTTTAAAGGAGAAAAAATGCAGAAATATCTTAAATTACAGAACTTTTTAAAATTTAAAATTAATAGTATTCATATAAAGTACTTTACCATGAGCTCTAAATACTCGATCATCTGCGTCTTGTGAATATGAAATATTAGTTTGTTTGAGGTCATGAAGAAAGTCTTCATTTACAATAGAAGGAGGTATATCACTGAGGTTTAGGGATGCCTAGGAAATAAAATTGGTCTCTTTATTTCTAGAAGACAAAATACCTAAAATATTTGACTATCCCTGATAGGAACAATGACTACAAAAGGCACTTTTATTTTCAGCGTTCAAAGCAAGGCAGAAGAGGAAAGGAAAAGGCCAAATAATGTCTATAGAAACCAACTGTGTGATCACAGTTCTCAACCATAAACAGACCGATTAATCCCACTCCAGAGCACAGAGGTTCTGTTTCCCTTAGAGCTCCATGGTCTGGCTTTTCATTGCATTAGGACTGCCATCCAGCAACGGGAAATAACCAAACCACAAACCTTGCATTTCAGAGGAAGGAGGAAGGGAAGGGAAGCCCCTGCACTTCGGCATTATTTCTTACACAAGAAAGTTAAGCATTTTTTTTATCTTACTTATCATACTATACCACTAGATAAAACTTAGCATTTTGAGTTCTATCTTATACTTTGAGTTCTATCTTAAAATTATCAAAAAGAAGTTTCACAAAAATATGAAACACATATTTAAAGGACCACTTTGAATCTTAAAAACATAATTAAATTTAAAGTAATAAGCAACTTCAAGACTAAATCTTCAACTTTAAAGTTAAATCTCTGAGACGCTCGACGAGTAACAAACTTCTCTGTTCAATGAGATGGTCACCACCAAATTTACCAGATTACTATAAGAAAGGCAGGCTAAATTAATCATTTTCATGAAAAGCATCTACTATACTGCCTCATACGTAGGATAAGGTCTATAAAGGCTAGGTAATCAAATATGCAAAAACAAAACAAAACTATGCATGGTATATGGGAAAAAGAAAATTACAGAATATTGAAAGAAAAACACATGGCATTTTCAGAATTTCTTAGTCTCATACTTAGTCCCTACAAAAGGAGAGAGAAATAAAGACAGGAAAAGACCCCCCAAAACCAACCTTTTTCAGAAAAATTAAGGGTCTGAATTGAGGGGGCAGGAATTAATTGCTTAGCCTTATATAATTATTAGGGGGAAAACTATGGATTTATAAATAAACCTATTATGTACTCACTAAGTATCTACCCTATCTCCCATGTTAGATATTAGATGTTAGATAATGTGCTATGACAATAATGACATAAAGACATGATAAATGACTTGTTAGTTTGATAGGTATACACAGTGTAATTTTTCTAATCCCAATTTGTAAAAATAAGCAAAGTAAAATTCACTCATATCTTAATAAATTTTTACTTTTTTATAATTCTGCATATACAAGGGGGCCTCAGAAAGTTTGTGGAAATATCTCATTATCTTATTTCTTTTCCATGAACTTTTTGAAGTCTCCTCATATTCTACATATCCTAATATTAAATGTAGCATTACACTTTTAATGATTCTAAACTAACCCTAGATTACTGTCAGTTTATTAAATAATCTAAAGATTACACCAATTTATACTTTTGTAACTAAGCACTTGCACACGGTTGACTAATTTGAACTTCGATATTGCCCTGTGAGAGGAAGAGGAGGCAGTTATTACTCCCACTTGTCAAATTAGGATACTGGGGCACAAAAAGGGTAAAGAATGTACCACATAAATCTCTGATGAATTCTGAGTTAGCAACTAGATCTGAGGCGCTAAGTAAACTGCCCCTAGAGAGCTTACAATGTCAATAATACTAGATTTCTTAACAAAAAAAATGGCAAACGCATTAAAGCAACTATAACAAATTACATAAATAACTCTATCTAAACACAGCTGGGGGTCTTAAACAAGAAAGTGAACCATGAGATAATCATTCCTATGTGCTTACTTTAGAGGTAGTTTTATGCTCCACGGTTACTCCTAGGATACTTTGGACCCAATCTTTAAAAGCTGGTAAACTCAGGCCACTAAGAGGGTACCTACGGTACAAAGAAGGGAAAATGTTAGAGCTGTGGTTCTCAGCCTTCCTCACGACCCTTTCAGACAGGTCCTCATGTGGTGGTGACCCCCCAACCATAACATTATTTTCGTTGCTACTTCATAACCGTACTTTTGTTACTGTTATAAATCAGGCAATCCCCGTGAAAGGGTTGTTTGAGCCCACAAAGGGGTCGCAACCCACAGGTTGAGAACCACTATGTTAGAGAAAGGTATCTTCGTTTTAATTTGAAGCTTAGATTCTTCTTCCAGTAATGGTCAAGTAGTTCCTGTCAAATCAATCCAAATGAGATGGCTGTTCTTTGGGAAATAAGATTTAGAAAAATCACTGTAGCCACAGTCAGCATTTTTTCACTATTCTGTTTTGGTTCCAGTTCAATTCTCTCCTTGCCACTACTTCAAGTAAGATCAATTTCCTACGATTCTCAAGGATTTGGAAAATCACACTCAATCATTCTTTTCACTATAAAGTTTAAATCGTCTGTTCTTCCCCTCAAAAAATAGAAAATGGGACACCTAAGAATACTGTACTATAGCTCTTTTATTTATTTTGTATGTAAATATTTCAATTATAAAATATTAAAGCAAAGCATACACATAAAACTATGGGAAAATAAAAAAAGGATTTTTACTAAGTAAACTTGCCATGTAAACAGCATCTTAAATACTGACTGATGGCCATTATGTTTCCACCTTTTGTCTACTATGAATAGTACCACAATGAACAGTTTATTTGTGCTTTTGACATTTTAATCCCCTGAATACATTACAAGAGCCCAAGCGGCAAGATGGGGTTAGTGTTGGGCTGCTGACCACAGGTAGGCAGCTAAAGACTACCAACAGCTCATAGGGAGAAAGCTGAGACTATGTGCTCCAAAACCTTATAGAGAGTCACTATGGGCTGGAATCAATTCAATGGCCATTAGTAAATTCTAGCAGTGGGATCACTGGGTCATATGGTAACTTTCTTTTTGAGCATCCACCAAACTGTTTTCCACACCATATCCCCCAACAACGATGGATTACCCAACATCCTGGCAAAGAACCAGAGCATCACTTGCTAGGTGCTGCCGAGTTGATTCCAACACACGGTGACCCTATGTGTAACAGATCAAAACACTTCTCGTCCTGGGCTATCTTCACAAGAGTTGCCAAGCGTGGGTTCACTGTGGCAGCCACTGTGTTAATCTGTCTCCCTGACACTCGTCCTTCTTCTCACTGGCTCTCTACTTCATCAAGCATGAAGTCCTTTTCCAAAATCAGGTCCCCTCCTGGTAATATGGCCAAAGTAAATGAGAGCAAATATCCCCACCCTCATTTCTGTGGAGCATCCTGAATATTTTAAGACAGGTTTGTTCATTTTCTGGCAGATCATGGTATATACAATATTCTCTGTAAACATCATAATTCAAACACGTCTATTTTTATGCAGTAGTCCTTATTACCTGTCCAACTTTGACATGCACTGAAAATACCGGGCTTGGGTCTGGAACACCTTGGTCCCTCCCCAGAGTGACATCTTTATTTCAAACACTTTAACGAGTGTATTTGCAGTAGATTTGTCCAATGCAATACATCATTTGACTTCTTCACTGCTGCTTCCATGGACACAGCTTGTGGGTCCAAGTAAAATGGAATCCATGACAGAATATAACCTTTTCTCCATTTATCACAGCATTGTCTGTTGATCCAGTTGTGAGGGTTTTTGTTTGCTTTATATTGTAGTGTAATCCACACTGAAGGCAATAATCTTTGATTTACATCAGTAAGTGCTTCAAGTCCTCTTTACTTTCAGCAAGCAAGGATGCACAAGTTGTTAATGAGCCTTCCTCCGATCGTGATGCCATACTGCTCTTAATATAGTCTAACTTCTTGGATTATTTGTTCAGCATACAACTGAATAAGCATGGTAAAAGGCTACAACCCTATTAAACAGCCTTCCTGATTTTAAATCACACAAAATGTCCTTGTTCAATTTGAATGACTGATTATATCTTGGTCTATGTGGATTCTGCATGAGCACAATAAAACTTTCTAGCACTCCCATTCTTCTCAATGTTACTCAGTTTGTAATGATCCATATAGACAAATGCTTTGCACAGTCAATAAAACTCAGGAAAATATCTTTCTGGTATTCTCTGCTTTCAGCCAAGATCCATCTGACATCAGCAATGACATCCCACATTCCAAATCTCGTAAAACTGGCTTGAATTTCAGGTAATCTCCTACATACTGTCGCAACAATTTCAACAAAATTTTACTTGTGTAGGATGCTAATGATATTGTTCAATAATTTTCAATAACGGAATTATTTTTCTTTGGAATGAGCACAATTTCGAACTTTTCTAATCATTTGGCCAGGTAAATATCCAAATTTCTTGGCATAATTGACTGCCTAGAGATCTATATCTGACCCCCATGTCACAGCCCCTCTGATATACAATGTACTATGAAACAGGCATAAACAAAATGAAACAAAATGCCCATCACCCATTTGCCAAAATGATACATATCTTAATACAGCATATAGGGTATTGATGAAGCAGGACTTTGATGATCCCTTTACCAATAGTTCATCATACTTGATACAGCTATCTTCTGCTTCCTCAGACACCATGTATTTTCCGACTTGAGACCTAAGGTTACACCTGTGTCTAAAGTAGGGTCCAGTTCATCCAGACTGACACAGTTGACAACTTCAACCTTTCTATCCCGTCATGATTCTGTTGATTGGCCCAGTTCTGAGGAGTTTGATGCCGTGTTCTTCTTCATTTGGTCTAGCTTCTTGAATTACTTCCCAGGACACAAATTGAATGAGTACAGTGAAAGAATGGAACCCTGATGCAAACCTTTCTGATTTAAAATCAGGCACTATTCCCTGGTTCTGTTAAAATAACTGACTCTTGATCTGTGTACAGGTTCTGTACAAGTACAAGTAAATGCCTAGAGATAAAAATCAGACCTTGATCTACTTACAGGCTTTTCTTTCTTTAAAAAATTTTTTTGTCTTTTGATTAATTTATTCTTCTATGGGTCATTGGTTTTCCTTTTTGTAGTCATCACTGTGTTCTCATTTGTCGCCTATCTTGCGATGGCTTGATTTTTGGTGCATATTCTTATCTCTACAGATCTATCTAGATAAGAAAGGCTGGAAGAATAGTCTCGTCTGGAGGAGAAAACAAAGGGACCAACGGTTCCGGGGAGACACGTGAGAGGGGGAGGTGGGGGTAAGGAGGTGGTGCTGACCAACCCAGGGACAGGGGAGCAACAAGTGATCCAAAATCGGTGGCAAGGAGGGTGTGAGAGGCCTGGTAGGGATTCCGCAAGGGCAATGTAACCGAGAGAAATCACTGAAACCCAAATGAAGGCTGAGCATGATAGTGGGACAAGAGGAAAGTAAAAGGAAATAGAGGAAAGAACTAGGGGACAAATGGCATTTATAGAGATCTAAATACTTTCTTCATGTGCATACGCAAATGTGGTGAAGAAAGCATGTACATATGTAAATATATTTATATAGGAGGGTGGGGAAATAGATCTACGTGCATATATGTATAGGTTTAGTATTAAGACAGCAGATGGACATTGGGCCTCCACTCAAGTACTTACTCAATGCAACACGTTGTTCTATTAAATTGGCATTCCAGGATGCTCACCTTCCCGACACAATTGCTGAAGAAAAATGTGTGCATACGCAAATGTGGTGAAGAAAG